AAAAAAAAAAAAAAAACCATTTTCTTTTCCTCTGAGTCATATAGCTAGACTGTTGTCCCAGCCTCTCTGCTCTGTGGGACCATGCATGCGACTGAGTCTGGCCAGTGGTGTTCCACGGATGTGATGTCATCATTTTCAGCGGAGCCTCGTAAATGCTCTATTCTTTCTCTTTCCCCGTCTTCCAGCTGGGTATTTATTTCCATAGTAACATTGCAAGTTACATGTGGGAAATGGCACCCCCTTCCCCCCATCATCTTGTGTCTCTGAACGACTGTGTGGAGCAGAGCCCCTTGCTGCTGGTTGGATTTTCAATAAACTATAATCTGTATAATCACTGGGATTTGAAATTTACGTGTCCCTACCCTTAGAATTACCTTTGGTTATGTACCACGCTACTTCTCCATATTGATAAATTCTGCTATAATTCTAGAACTTTTTAGGATTTTAAGACCAAAAAGCACACGAGCATTATAGTTCTTGGACCTTACCCTGGGAAAACTTTCACTCTAACGGTAACAAACTTTATTTCCATTTCTGAAAACTAGAGAACCTAACACATTCGCTAATGTGAAGCTCCTATACATCTAATCCTTCCTGTGATTTGTAACCTTAGTTATTTTATCAATACTAACCAATCTTTTCACCCGTCCTTGGCTCTCTTTCCATTGTTCTCAGCAATTATTCTGAGTTCTCTCTTCTCATCTCAAAATTTTTACCCAGCCCACTAATTCCTACCCTCTCATATTTTCACAATAGGCTTCCTGAGGCATTGAAACCATCATAGATCTCTCCTACAATAAAATAAATATTTGAATGACTTCAGTTCTCATACCAAACCCTCTTCTACCTCCGTGACTTGGGAAATATATTGCAGACTCTGTAAATCATTTGAAGTAAGTCACGTAATCTCTTTGACTCGTCTGTAAAATGGGATCTGAAATCTTTGAACTGACCACTTAGATCTATTATGATGACCAAATAAGGTAATATGTATGAAAATCCTGACTTTTTAAGGGATTCTTGCAATTTTTATCCGTGATACTGTTCTATTTTCATTTCTAGTTAGACAGTGTTTAAACACGCACCTCCCATTATCAAATATGCTTTATTATGAAAAATTCCAGATTGTGAGTTGTAAGTTTTATGGGAACAAAATTCTCTGTGGTCAGGAAGTGGATCTGATTTCTTCGTTTTATCATGATAGAGTAAGTCCTATGTTTAGTCATTCCTTGGATATTGTACTCATAAGGGTACACATATATGTCATTCCTCATTGCCTCCAGATGCAGCAAATAAACAATCTCTTCACTGTTGTGTTCACAGTTTG